TTTTTGAAAACGTGGTTTTTTAGATTAATTTTTTAATCTACTATAATTATTATGTCTAGCACTTCAATGATCAGTTGAAGTTTTGTGAACAAGGAAATTTTTTTTACACAATTTCTTGTTAAAAAGTCATTGAATGCTGAAGATGCTCTTCTTATGTAATTTTCAGAGGTATAAAGAAGAATTGCGCAATAAAATATCTTATTTCCAGCTGTAATAATTTTCTGTGTATACAGTGCACATGTTTTATTTTTAGAAACACATTACTGTACAGTACCTTCTTTTGGCTTCTTGACTAATTTCCATTTGCTGTGAAAACAAATAGCCAAGCCTCAATTTAGGGCCACCATCATCTGCCGATGGCCATTTATTGGCACAAAGAGAGAATAGTGCCAAATTAAGGGCGTTGTGCATAAGGTATCAATATAATGGATGAAGATTTGTTCAGGGGAAACATGTGACCCAAAGTTTTGCTGAATTGGGTGGGGGAAGAGGCAATAAATTAATGGTTTGCTGCATTTGGCTCTGAGTTGAGGGACCAACTTTTTTCTCAATACATAAAAAACAAATGGCAGTATATCCAGTGAACGCAATTTTTGCATATGATAATCAACAGTCAAGAAAAAATCTAATAAATTTAAAACCAAAAAATGCAGTGTCATTATTCAAACTCAGTTATTGGTGATTGAAGATTCTTCAAAATAATTCTTCTGAAGATGCATATAATAAAGATGATGCACAATCCAATGATGATTTAAAAATGATCATTCTAAATGCTTGCATGAAAATATAATAAGTTTTTTATGATTAGTTTACATGAGTTTGGGGACAAAAAGTCAGCACCTGACCTTTTTTGGGGCACAACTGTACATTCAAGCAAATCTGTTGTTTACAAATAAAGCACAGACAAGATTAAGCATCCAACTTCAACCAATTTGCTCTAAAATCAGTGAGCATCAGGCAAAGGTGTACATAATTAGGTATTTATGTAACAGATAACCTTCAGGTTTTCAAGACTTGACTGTGGCAGCATTACCAAAAGTCACAACCATTGGAAGCAACTACAGTACAGTACTCAAAATGAACTTCATGTTTTAATCTCTGATGCTGGTTGCATGTTGCATCTCAAGGCCAGTGAGCCTTGCCAAAATCCAGTTTTTGCAAGACTCACTGAGCTTCACCCAAGGTCAATAAGTGGTCATCACCTCCTGGATTTTCCCAAAATTGGCCAATCCCGAGACAGGAAGAAATCACCTGATTTCTTCCTGACCCAGTCTGAGCACCTGGACATACAAGGGTTCTAACAAAAGTTCTTGGAGTAGCAATGAAAATGACTTACAGTTGAGCTGAACCAGATATTCTTTGGCACATAAAAAATATCAGCCCTGTTTGACAGATTTTTTTGAATTTTTTTCATAATTCACCCTGGCAGAGTTTTGCTCTCCACTCAAAAGACAAGGCGCTCTTTTTTTGTTGTAGCCCAGCTTTCCCCTTAGAATTTTTGGAATCAACTTGACATTCTTTCTAAGGATTGCCTCCAGGTCATCCAAGGAAATTCTGCCATTTTCATCAAAAGCCGCCTTCAAAGCCGCCACTTTGGCGGCTGTGAAGGCAGCTGTCAATGAAAATGGAGCTAACCCACCAATCTTACAATTGATTCTGCCATTCCAAACAACCATTTCATTAACAGCCAAATGAAAATCTGGGCAATGAGAATGAAATCCTCCAAAAACAGTTTGAGTTCTTTATTCAAAACTTGCGTTCTGATGACTGCACAATTCAATTCCTTTGTACTGGGATCCAATGCACTTATGACAGTACCAATTTTTAGAAATGCTTTTTATTTTATTACAAATTACATTTCCAGAGGGAAGTGATTTCAGTCCACATTGGACAGGCGGGTGTCCAGATGGGGAATGCTTGCTGGGAACTGTATTGTCTGGAGCATGGAATCCAGCCTGATGGACTCATGCCCAGCGATGACAGTGTGGGCATGGAAGAACCCGACGACGCTTTCAACACCTTCTTCTCTGAGACTGGGAATGGGAAACACGTTCCCAGGGCCGTGTTCATCGACTTGGAACCCACTGTTGTTGGCGAGTATTTATTTTTTTCGATTTTTATCCTGCCATTTCAGAAAGTTGGAAGAGTTGGGCCCATTTGAGTTTCGCATATTATATTGGCTGGGCTTGCGGGAATAAAAAATATATGCACAACAAATAAACAGCTTTTAAATTTTGCAGGGTTATGCTTTCATTGTCGTAAACGGCCCTAAAATTGTAGGCATAAATTCCACGGGGGAAAAACGGTGTTCGTCAACTGTTTTTGAAAATTTTGGCATCGTTCTATTTATGCCAATAATTGCTGAATTTCCGAACGAGTCTGTTCCATTTTCCTACCCTCTGCTAAACAACTCCCGGAACCGACATGAAATGAATTAATTATGCCAAAATCGGGAGACTTCGGAGAGTCGAAAACACTCGTGTCTTCTCGATATTGCGGTAATTCCGGTCATGAGACAGGTCAATAATTTATTGCTCGGACGAGGTCATGGATGAAATATGAATTCCGTGCGTCGGGGTATGAGTTCAGTATGATAAAGCACAGGAAGAAAAAGAGGTCGTGTGTCAACTCAATCATGTTTCCGAAGTTCACTTCGTTTTGGAAAAAAATACGATATATGACTGATCTCACGGAAAATAAATTATCTCATGCTTTCTTAAATATGAGGCGCAGTTTTTTTTCGTAAATTGTCTCATAAAAAAATCAGCGTGCGTTTTATTTTTGAAGAAGAATCATTAATTTTTATACCAACAAATTAAGTAAATTCATTTCAAAATTGGATCTAAAATACACTATGGAAACCAGTGTTACCATCCTTGGATCAAAGTGAAAGGAATTAAAATCCAGATTTATACTGTATTATGAATGAGCAGAGCTTTATTTGCCACTTTTCAGCTTTCACAAGGTTCAATCAAGATTTCCACAACCAAACCCCCTTCCCATCCTACCCAAATCCACTCAATGACATTTAATCACTTCAGAGCAGGAAAGCACAAATTGCTGATAACAAAAATAAATTGAAATACAATACAACATGAAATACAACTGGACATCTGACATGTATGCATACACTCATTCATTCCCAGACATTGGAAACAAAATATATGTAAAAATNAACAAAATATATGTAAAAATTAATTTAAAGCACAAGGTCTTCAGCTTGTTTCTGTATGAGGTTTAGTTGAATGAACAAATTAGAGAGAATCTTCAATGAGAAATCATATAGTGCCAACAGTTTATCTTGATCCTTTAAGATACTGTATTACAAATGTTTCTTTGTGACAGAGCCATGAGAAGAGTGACAGAGTTTTGCTATAAAAGGAATTAAAATGTGCACATTTTATCTTCTCTGGAAAAATGTGAATTCATTTTCAAAGTACATAAGAAGAGATTCTTCTGAAGTGCTGTATTTTATTCAATATCGTATTTTATTTGTGTTTTTTTTTAATTGTAGATGAGGTCAGGACTGGAACTTATAGAGGTTTGTTCCACCCTGAGCAGCTGATTTCCATGAAAGAAGATGCTGCAAATAATTATGCCAGAGGTCATTACACAGTTGGTGAGTCAGTTTATTTCATGCATTTGTTGTTTCATGACTAATTTACTTTGATAAATTGGTACCGGTGATACCTTGCAATTTGACCATCCCACAATTCAATGGTCAAATTTTCAGGGAGGTTGACTTGCAATTCAACCCATGCCCCACAATTTGACCTGCTCTGGCCATTTTCTGTGTTTTTGTACTTATAATTTCAAATTTCACGGTGTGTCTTGCAATTTGACCAATTTGCAATTTGACCCTAGTTTGGCAATGGATTGCTGGGGTCAAATTTATAGGTATCACCAGCTGTAGTTGTTTCCTCATATTGTTTATAACCATTTTCCCTGATCTCTGAATTTCTCTTAGAATTTTTATATTTAGGAATTTATAATTATAAAGCGTGGAAAAGTATTCCATGCAAGAAAAAAGCATCTACCGGAGTTTGTTATTAAAGAACTGTAATATGAAAAATTTTTGCAAGAGCTCCAGTTCATAATTCCTCAGTGAAGAGAATTGAGTTAGGTAAGTAGTAACTTTCCCCAGGCTAATGGTGCCCTTGCCTGGGGGTTTGATATTTCTGCTTTGACTTTTGAAAGTTTTTTTCTAAAATGAATTATTGAATGTTTCTATCATTTAAAATTGAAAAGAACCCGTGTTTTTTGGGCGCTTGTGCAATCAGTGGTAAAATTCTGGGATTATCTCCTCTCATGTTTAAACGTCTCGAACCAATTATAATAAAACGTTAGCACGCATATTTTATTGGCATTTTTTCTCTTCATGAATAACTGATGATGGAGTTCGAAATCCAGAATATTCCGCGTAATTTCTGAGATAATTTTACTTGAACAAGCAGACGAATGTGGAAGGAGGTGAACAACATTTGGATGCATTGTGAGATGTTTTATATAAAATGAACTTTAACCAAAGATGGTGGAATCATGAAATAAAAAAAGTAAATCCTTCTTGTTAACTCGTCATCAAGGACATGATTTGAAACTTTATTTTCGCAGGAAGAGAAGCGAATGATGCCGCATTGCCGATTTTACGAAAATTGGTTGAACAATGTTCTGGTTTGCAAGGATTCCTCATTTTCCATTCATTTGGTGGTGGAACAGGGTCAGGATTTGCTTCACTTCTCATGGAAAGAATGTCTGCCGATTATGGCAAGAAAACCAAGCTCTGCTTCTCTGTTTATCCAGCTCCTCAAGTGAAGTTCATTTCTTAATGTATTATCATTTTTTAAAGAAGAAAATTGTATTTACTGAGAGTTGACTTTCAGTTAATGGGCAAGATATATTTGAAGTGCACTCATAAATCATGTTTAATCACCCATCCATGACCATTTTTGGCCACTATAGATGACATAGGAATGACATTCAGGACATTTGATTAAGCAAGTGGATTCTTTCTAAACCTATTTTTCTGTAAAACAAATTTCGATTTTTTCAACAAGGAAGATCCTCTTCATCCCATGTTACAGGGGTTAACATCTACAGTACAATGAAATTCTCTTCAAAATGATTTTTACTGGCCCCTTCAATTTTGCTGTAGAGGCCACCTGTGTAAGGTATCAACATACTGTGCCTCTAAAGTTATCCATTGAAAGACTTCATTGGGCAAATGAAAGACTTAATTGGGCAAATGAAAGACTTAATTGGGCAAATGAAAGACTTAATTGGGCAAATGAAAGACTTAATTGGGCAAATGAAAGACTTAATTGGGCAAATGAAAGACTTAATTGGGCAAATGAACCCTAGCCTCCAAATTCAGCAGCTTTTCAACTCATTTAAGAAGCCATTTAAGCCTCAGAATATCACCATTTACATTTTTTTCAAGTTTCCTGGGAAAAGGGCTTTGTATTGTAGTTCAAACCTACATAATTCAAATATCCCTAAGAAAAAACCTCCATAAGTCGACTTTTCTTTTGCAGGTCCCTCGAAGTTCGACTCGAAGCGGTTTGATTGTAAATGCAAAGAACAGCGTTTATGGTCATTATATGTAGATGTCGCCAGTGACGCAAGGCAAATCTTAAAAATATGTCTGCTTTATCTCCCAGGTTTCCACGGCAGTTGTGGAGCCGTACAATGCGATTTTGCACACCCACACGTCTCTGGAACACGCCGACGTGGACTTTATGGTTGACAACGAAGCCATTTACGACTTGTGCAAAAATAAATTGCTGATTGGTCGTCCGACGTACACGAATCTGAATCGAATAATCGGCCAACTGGTGTCCAGCGTCACGGCTTCTCTGCGATTTGACGGGGCTCTGAATGTGGATCTCACTGAATTCCAAACAAATCTCGTCCCTTATCCACGAATTCATTTCCCAATGGTGAGTCAAATTCGTGTGTTGACAGTTTTCATTTTAAATTTGAATAATTGCTTTACGTTAGAATAATGATGCTCTGTCATACGGTGGTGCCCTATTATTTGAAATTTCAAGGAGTTATTGAAATGGTAAAATCTGATTTCTTTCTGCCATTATGGGAAAATTATACTGTAGCAGCAAAATTTATGAGTTTCTCTGCAGAATGCAGTAAAAAAGTTGCGGAACATCAAAAGCAACAGGGTATCCCCAGAAAAATACAGTTGAACCTCTCTAAGTCAAATTTCAAGGGACCTGCAGAAAAATTTGACTTAGGGAGCTTTTGACTTACGGAGGTTATTCAGAACTGTACACGTTGAAACTTAGAAGAATGTAAATGGTGATATTTTGGGGCTTGAAAGGCTTCTTAAATGAAGTGAAAAGGCTGCTGAACTTGGAGGCAGGGGTTCATTTGTCCAAATGAGTCTTTCACTTCCTTTAAAACACATACATTTATGTTTTTATTGCTTTTTTTCTTTCTTGGGAGAAGAAAATAATGGACAAGAGGCCACAGAAATTTAGACCTACAGAGGTTCAAAGGAAAAGCTTTTGACTTAGGGAGGTTTTTAAAGTATTGTTTCTAGGGGATTCAGATGAGGATATTAATAAAATTCAACTTAGGGGGGCATTTTTATTAAGGAGGTTTGAGTTATTCTAAGAAATAACTCTAAGAAATATGATTTACAATCTTTAAAATTTGAATTTCTCCCAAAAGGCTGACTATACCAATTGTAGGTATGCTCTCTACAACGATTTTCTCTGTATAACGAATTTTGTGGGTCCCACAGGGATCTCAATGTCCATATTATCAATTTTCTTGCCCTCAAATTCTCTCTATAAAAAAATTCTGATCCCTTGAATTTCCTTGTATGGATGAGAGAAGTTGGCTATTTATAATGATATTTGTACTGTATTTCATTAGGCCAATCATGTCTCTGCCAGGACTTCGTCTGACAATGTTTGTTGTGTGATGAAGAAATTGTTATATATGGCGATTTTCCTTCAATAGAGACAGAATTTCTTTTTTTCCATAATGTATAGAAATAAAGTCTTCATTGCGCCTTTATTATGGGTATACAGTAAGACCCCCACATGTGGACACCTCAACAAGAGGAAAATTTGGCATAAGGACATTTATTTTTGAATAAAAGAAGGCCCAGCATATGGACACTTACTTGACATGAGGACATTGCATGATACAATTGCCAATCAATTTCACAAAAATTGACTTTTATTTGGCTTGATTGCAAGAAACAGATATTTCCAACCCCTGAAATGGATGCAAGAAAAATTATTTTTCATTTCTCACATCATTTTCTCATCCATTCAGGTAATTTAAAAAATTATCTATTGCATAGAAGAACTTCCTTCTTGCCTTGTGACTTATTGGATGTTATCTTTGTACATTCCAACATTTCAATGTACTGTACAGTATACAGATATACGCTATTCAATGCTCCAACTGTTATTATTGAGTTGAGAATATATTCACTCAATCTAATTCAAGTGGCAAACACTTTTTTTCATGGAATTCTGAAAAATATTTCTTCCATAAAACACCAATTAAAAATTTTTATAATGTAAGTCTATGGGAAAACAAGACTTGACTTAGGGACACTCTTGATGCACCATTTATGTCCACATCTGGGGGCTCTCATTGTACTGTATCCACATGCAGGCAACCTGGGTACCTGTTGTGAATGCCGAGACAGCCAACAACGAAGCCCTGAACGTGCAGCAAATTACGCAAATGTGTTTCACGCCGGAAAGTCAAATGGTGAAATGCGACCCAAGGAATGGGAAATACATGAGCGTGTGTTTGTTGTACCGCGGGGACGTGATTCCAAAGGACGTGAATGCGGCCATTGCCAAGATCAAGAGCCAGAAAACCATCGAGTTTGTGGAATGGTGTCCCACTGGATTCAAAGTTTGTGAATTTTTCTTTGCCTTTTTTTTTTAAATCAAGTGCGGATTCATTCTACAGCATGCTACAGTATATGCTTACAGGAGTAATACACTGCCCCCTCCCCCGCCGAACAGACCTCCTGCATAATGGATTTTCGCCTAACAGACCGCCTCAGCAGAAAGTTTTTCCTCCCGCCCAACTGACAAAATCTGCAGAACAGACTTCTGTAGGTTTATAATTAGTGTTGACCATTAAAAGTTTTAATTTTTTATACAATTGATTTTGTTTAAAGGAATTTTTGTCCAACAGACCACCTCTGCAGGCAGTTTTTCCTCCCGCTCAACCGACAAAATCTGCAAAACAGACTTCTGTTGGTTTAAAATTAGTGTTTATCACTAAAAGTTTTAATGTTTTATATAATTTAAATTGTCTAAAGGAATTTTTGTCCAACAGACCACCTCTGCAGGCAGTTTTTCCTCCAGCCCAACAGACAAAATCTGCAAAACAGACTTCTGTTGGTTTAAAAGTAGTGTTGACCATTAAAAATTTTAATTTTTTATATAATTGAAACAGTCTAAAGGAATTTTAGTCCAACAGACTTGTCCATTGCACAAATTAAGTCCTTTGTACAGGGGTTGACTATATAATGGAAATATCAAATTTCAACCACCCAAATTTTTATATGTATGTTAGAGACTGAGTGTCTCAAAATACATATGAAAGATGCTCACATTTGATAACTGAAGGAAATGTTGCTGAAAATGGGATTGCTGTAATTGATATTATATAGACCTGCTGGTGAGAGACAGAGATTATATATGACCTGATCACCTGAATAAGTAAAAAAAAATCACAAAACAATCAGTGTTGAGAAAAATTAATTTGTTCCTTTTAAATTTGTGAAGGACCATGTTTATGAGTTGAAAATTTTTATCAGCAATGTTTCTTATGAAAAAAATTAAGCTCTTTATAGCAGATAGCCAAGTGATGTACAGCACCCTGCTTCCATCATGAACACTTATACACCTGAACTGAAATCCAACATAAACTGAGCTAAATTAACCCATACTTTAAAATCTCAGTACAGCAAATACCATTACAACAAATATTTAAGGATAACAAACTTTCCTCAAGTCCCAACAGAAAGCCAGTAGAGTGCTTAATACAATATTGTTATAACAAGCTTTCCAATTCCAGTACAGTATAACAATATTTTGAGGAATGTGTATAATGCATTTCTTCAGGTAGAAATGTTCTTGACTGAGGCAGGCACAGTTCAAAATTTATTTTCTCTTAATATCACTTTTGACAAATTTTCATCAGCAGAAATAAATTATTTCAAAGTTTTGTCCTGAAAACCTTTCTTCAAGACCATCTTTCTAATTTTTCTGAAGACATTCCACTAAAGCAACTTCATTTGGTTTTAAACTTAATTTTTGCAACAGCAAAAAAACAACTTTTAATTAGACCTTCTGGCTCAAAAACAAATACATTTGCAAAAATTTTCCAGTCTGCAGGCCAAAAAAGGTTTTGGAAAACTGCTCTCAACTACACAGAAAAAATAAAAATTCATGCAAAATCTCTGCACTGATAATTCACAGCAGGAAAAAAAATAAACCTTGAAACAATAAATACATGAGCATTGAACAAAGCATTTTCAAGAAATTTTTACTAGAATGCAATACTATACTTTCATTATTCACTGAAGGTCGGCATCAACTACCAGCCACCCACAGTCGTGCCAAACGGGGATTTGGCGAAAGTCAGACGTGCTGTTTGCTGCTTAACCAATACCACTGCCATTAAGGAAGCCTGG